TCAGCGGTCCCATCCAGTCCTCTTCCACAGTGTTATGTGCTTTTCCCTTTTCTTTTTCTTTGTCGTTTGTAAAAACAGGTCCTTATGGTCCTGGCTCCTTATGCATTCTGGGGAGCGTCAATCCGGATTCCCCCGGCAAGTCAAGAATAAGATGCATACTACACACTCCCGTTTCCCTTCCGTATGGTCAAAGGATCCTAAATCTGAAGGTTGAAAAAAAAAAAAAAAAAAAAATCTGAAGGTTTAAAAAAAAAAATAATAATAATAAAAAAAAATTCTGAAGGTTTATGATTATATTTTGTTAACTGTTGGCTGGTTCCACATCTACCGAATTCGCACCGTTTGGAAATACACTAAATGTCACAGGTCTCACTTCACTCACAAACTCTATCCTTCTCCGGGAAAGGTCATACACATACGTATTCCGCAAGTTAAATTCGCCAAAATGTGGTCCCAACTCGATCAAACCGACGTGTTTTAAAAAGCATCCTGAGGTTCGAATTCGAGCCTCGTAATCGCCAGCGCTTGCAAGAGCGCCGACCTATTATCCAGGCCACACTTGAAAAGATGTGAACCCCCCTATACAGTTCTGCTTCTGCTTCCTATTCTCTGGCCCACTTTTTCTTGGCTTCGTGTGAACTGGTGGTATACAAAAATAAGGAGGGAAGCACAAGAATTTAGGCCGCCAGTTCACGCAAGCCTTCCTATTCTCTGGCCCACTTTTTCTTGGCTTAGTGTGAACTGGTGGTATACAAAAATAAGGAGGGAAGCACAAGAATCTAGACCACCAGTTCACGCAAGCCTAATTTGACGAAGAGGACAACTTGGCTACTTGTGAACTGGTGGTTTAAAGAGAGACAAGAACGGACAAATGCGTAGGATTTGTGTGAACTGGTGGTTTAAGCGATGAGAACAGACGAGTACGTAGGGGACCCTCCAGTGACACTTCTTCTAACTTTCCCTTTTTTTAATTTTTAAAGAAAACTAAGCTATATTCTCCTCTCAATTTCCCGTTTCACTTCTTCGAACTATACCTTTAGCTGCAGCAGACTCCTGACAAATGAAATAAAGTTTAAACTTTTAAACTACCGCTACCATTTCCAACCTCCCTGCGGCAAGGTCTCACTTCACCCAGACTATTCATTTCTGGCCATCGATCTTCTAATCGGTGGTCAGAAATCGTGGATCCGGGTAAGTGGGATCTTGCCGCCGGCTGCCAGGAGCCCCCCAACCTTTTGCACTTGGTTCAGCGATCGGTCATTATCCTGTCTCTTATACACATCTAGATGTGTATAAGAGACAGCTTGAGTAAGGGCCTCGTTTCACTTCTTCGAACTATACCTTTAGCTGCAGCAGACTCCTGACAAATGAAATAAAGTTTAAACTTTTAAACTACCGCTACCATTTCCAACCTCCCTGCGGCAAGGTCTCACTTCACCCAGACTATTCATTTCTGGCCATCGATCTTCTAATCGGTGGTCAGAAATCGTGGATCCGGGTAAGTGGGATCTTGCCGCCGGCTGCCAGGAGCCCCCCAACCTTTTGCACTTGGTTCAGCGATCGGTCATTATCCCTTGACGATACCCATGCCTCCCATCACTTCAGGTATATCTTGATAACTAGAGTAATTCCTTGTGGCATCTTTGTGGCCCCAGCCGTTTCTTCCTTGTGCCCAAGGGACCGGTCCCTTGGGCACAAGGAATCCGCGTTTCACGGAGAGGAGAGGGCACACGGGTAGATCGACGTTAGAGCTGAGAATCTGGATCGTGGCGGCACCCTATTGGCTGAAGGCCTGAAGCACAACTGTTTTTTTTTGTCTTTTCATTTTTTTTTTCTGACATCAGTCTTAGGACATGTCCTCGGGCGACATCCCTGAGGACAGGTGGAACGAAGAGCCCAAAATTCCCTTACGAGCCACAAGGAAAATTTTTTGTGGCGCAAGGAACTCGTAAGGAGTGTCTAACGAGGCCCCGACTCCTTAAACCTGGTTCGCTAGTCCGTCTTAAAGTAGTTATATGTGGTTCACGTGTTCGTCCTTGATATTTTGATGTTAAAGTTAGTAAAGAATAATTCTTACCGCAGAAATAACTACTTCACAAAATGTGCAATCTTAGTGGAAATGCGTACTTTTCCTCTCCGCAGCACTAGAGCTTATTTGGTACAGCAAAGATAGTGATGGTTATAACTATCAGTCCCTCCAAGCCTCTTTTTCCCAATCCGAATTGCTGCTATGCGCCAAAACAAAACAAAATGGAGCAGGGAGCATAATGTCTTCTTGCCATGTGCCTCTTTTGCCCGACCCGGATTGGCGCTATGACCCCAAGGGCCCAAACACAACAAAATGGGGAAGGCCTGCCAGGGCGTAAATTGCTTCCTTTTTTTTTTTTTTTTTTTTTTTGACGACCTCGAGATATTATCAACACTGAATCGACCAGGCGTAGGTAATTTACAATCTGATTGCATCTGGATTCAAACTTATTTTAACAGCTCATGTGTGCACCAACTGGGCCAGGCTCGTTTTAACCTCGTCCCGCCAGCCATTTTATTCCAGTGGGCCAAGCAGTGCTACCATCCCTCACCCAAATAGAACGCCTGGTCATTATAGCTGAATTTGGGCCAGCTTTCCGTCCACATACGGCAATAATGACAGGGTGTTCTATTCGGGTGAAGACGGTTGCACTGCTTGGTTCAGAAGGCAGTGGTGGTTAACCACCAATTCCCCTGAGCCGCTTTTTCCCGAACTGCCATCATTTTTGGTGGCGGTTCACCGCCAGTCCCTCCGGGCCTCGTTTTCCCGACCCGGATCGCTGCTATATGCCAAAACAAAACAAAACATAGCAAAACAGAACAAAACGAAACGAAGTTGCAACTGTATTCATCAATAATATACCAACTAATAAATAATAAATTGGAAAATTCATTTTGAACGAATTTCTGCAATTACTTGTTTAGCCTGAACTTTTTGATTATTTTTGACAAATAGTAGACTGTCAGTTGGAATCATAGATTTATATATGTCTTTTCCTTTAAAGAATAATAACTCCGATCTTATTTCGTTATAGTAGTCATTTAAGTTTTGCAATTAGTCTGGTTATTGGATTGATAATAAGTAATTTTTTTTTCGTGCAACTTACTAGAAATTTAAGAAATCGTATTGCAGAATGTTTCCTTTACACCTCACGCCACCAGTCATTTTGGTCGGGGAGGTGAGTCGTGGGTCGGGGACCAGGTGCTTCGCTAAGCCCCTGTTACCGTGCCGGGGAGGTGAGTCGTAGGTTTCGGGACCGATAAACACGAGACTACACGAACAACACTCCGGGCGCACTCAGACTACCACTATCTTAGATGTACCTAACCGGCTTTAGGGCCGGGGACTCGTATGCATCTGGCCGCAATTCCGACCAGAGTGAGTATGCCCCCACAGCAGCACTTGGCAGGCAGGGATTGTGTGCATCAAGCGTTGATCCTTGTTTTGCTTTCTCTTTTTTTCTTTTTTTAATCCACTTTCCATTTCTGTTTCACATGATTGAGTCAATGCTCGTGCCTTGATGGATACTTATTAGATTGATAATTTGATAGTAAGATAGTACTCCCTGGGGAAAAGTTAAACCCTGAAAACAAAAAAAAAAACAAAGAAAACACCTTTTTGAAACTTAGATTGAAACCCCAGAAAAGGCAGAATGAAGAACTTTTGACACACCTTGGCCAAACCATCCTTGATATACATCCTGAAGGCTTCACTAGCAGACATCAGATGAGCATTGATATCCACCTGCAAACAGATTCCATCAAGCACACAGATTTCGTCAATGACAAGAAGAGGGGAAACTTAGGACAGAGATTCTCTGCCAGACATCGGATCGTGGGCCTCGTGTAAGATCACGCCAATGAGAAGCGAAAAGTAGAAAGAAAAACAGATGAGGTATGTTACCAGAGTCGCCCGCGGCCGGCCGAACCGGGCAAAAGCTTGCACGGCGGGTGACCCGCCCGGAGTACCCAGGCGATACCAAAAAGGGGGTCAGTTTTTTTTTTTCCTGTTTTCTGGTCAGTGGGGCAATTTTGCATCCACTGAGACGTGCCCAAATCCAGCCTTTTTTTTAGAGTTCGGTGACATCTCACCACGGGTTCGCCGGTTGCCGGTTTTTGCCGTAAAGGCCAGGATTTCCTGGCCATTTTTAACGGGGCTTCAAAGGGCACGAACGGGCTTATTAGGGCATAAACGGTTATGAAACTTTCAGGTTTTTTTTTTTTTTTTTTTCATTTCGGATTCCATAGCAAATTTCGTGGTCACCCTCAGGCAAAAGACGTTTGGTTTGCAATTCCGCATGACATAGTTTTTTTTTTTTTTGGGGGGGGGACTGGGACTGCCCAAGACCTTGACGGGGGCTTTAGCCCGGACCTGGCCCGGCCGGGCCACCAGGGCCAATCTGAGGCAACCTGGCCCGCCCACTGGTAACACAGGTGCATAGGTAAGAAGAGCTGTTTCACCGGATGGAAAACAGATGAAAGATTGGCTTTCGGAGGCAAATGAGCCCCAATGAACTTCTACTTTCTATATTTTTGTTAGATTTTGTGGTACTTTTTCTTTTCCATAACTGCACTGCTGGCCAAGAGGTCCTCAACACTCGAAAAGACCTTTCTGCAGAGCCATTCGCGTCAGCCACCCGTACTCGGTGAAACAGGTTCACAGCCATACCTGTGGATAATGTTGAGTAAGCCTATACAACTCGTAGAGGCCGGCCGTGCTTGTCTGCTTGTCTCCAATCTTCTTAAACACCATGGCAAGCTCTTGCTGCTCACACACACAATACAAACAATGACAGATGGTTAACAAGGCCCTAATGTTTCAACTTTCAACATTTTCTCAAAAAATTGTGACGACAAACTAGACCCTAAGACTACCTATCAAATCCATCGTATTCAATCCATCAATCCATCCTTCCATCCATTTCATCAATCCATCCATCCATACATACATCCATACATCCAATACACCGAATCCATCCTTAAGAAAGCCCTAATGTTTCAACATTTAAAAAGAAAACTGTGACAAAAAACGAGACCCTAAGACTACCTATCTAATCCATTCTATTCCATCCATCCATCCATCCATCCATCCATCATCCATCCATCCATTCGACCCTGTAATCGCATAAAAGTTTTTTTTTTTTAATTCCAAACAATCCACCCAATCCATCCATCCAATCCATCCACCCATTCATCCATCCTTACAAACACACAGAATGGAAAACTTAAGAAGAAGATGATGTGAGTTCTACTATCATTGCGTCATCAACTCCTCCCCAACACTCCTTGATCCTACACCATCAAGGAACTCAAACCTTCTGCTCATACGTCACGCAGATTGAAACTCCATCCATCCATCCCTGCAATACATCCAATCCATGTCACCCACACTGACAATTAATACACCAAATCCATCCATCCATCCATCCATCCAATGCACCCAATGCACCCAATCCATCCATTCACATCCATCCATCCACTCATCCACCCATCCATGCAATACATCCAATCCATGCCACCCACACTGGCAATCCAACCAATGAACAACGTCTGGGAAGGAAGAGATGTACAGACCTTGATCGTGGAATCGGTCGAACCTCCACCGGCAGTGGGTGAGGTCGCACCATTTGTTCCCGAGTCGGCATGTCCTGCAGGTGTAAGAAGCTTTGCAGCAGCCAAAGTCTGCAACAGAGACACCACAACAAAGGTTCCGCAATACCAGAGACACCACAACAAAGATTCCGCAATACCAATCAATCCACAAAGTCCACAAGAAACTCAAAGAACACATGGATGCCCTGTTTCCCAAGCAGGAAAGCACAAGACAATGCAGGACTACACAACGTAAACCGTGAGGCATGAAAGGAAAAAAGAAAAAAAACAATGGTAACTCAACCAAGCTTAACACAGTAGACACATGATTGCAACAGCATCTCCTATGCCAGTAACAGATCCTCTACCTAGATCAGCAGGTCCTATACCAGGACTACTGTCGTCCCCCGAACGGCATCTACTCAAGTTTAAAAAAAAAAAAAAACGATGACTCGAATAGACCGCATATGCGTTATACCAGCCATTCGAATAGACTACCATTTTCTCCCAAACATAGGGCATATATCCTTCTATTCTAGTTTTCAAAAACACACAATGCTTCGAATAGAATGCATAAACATAGGGCATATGTCTTCTATTCAAGTTTTCAAAAACACACAATGCTTCGAACAGAACACATATGTGTTATACCAGCCGTTCAAATACAGTACCGTCCTCTCCCGAACATAGCGCATATGTATGTCTTCTATTCGAGTTGTCAAAAAAACTCGATGATTCGCATAGAATGCATATGCGTCATATTCAAATATACCAGCCGTTTGAATAGAACGCAGTGCCTGTGTTGTCTAGTTGTATTCGAAAAGAAAGCAACCCAGGTGCTGTTTCCATTTACAGCACATATGCATGAAGTTTGGCGAAAGACAGTAGCGGCTCTTCTACGACGGCAGCCAGCTCCTATACCAGGAATAGATCCTTATCCAAGCTTAGACAATAGGCGCATTAGAGACACGGTCGGGGTTACAACCAGAGGCAGGCTATTGCCATGACGACAGCTCTGCACCAGGAAGAGTTCTTATACCAGGTATAAGAAGGCTGGTACACATCCATTCTTTGCGGGCTATGGACATCTGGTCTCGGCTTTCGTATATGCTCCTCCAGGGACTTTCTCATAGCACCACTGGCCTAAACCATCCTCACAAAAGAAACAAAGTGTGACTGGTTTATGGAGAACTTTGCACCCATTTGTGTATACATGTGGTCATTAGTTTACTAC